GGTTTCTGAAGCTCAGGACCCCAACACATTCAAAACCTAAATCTGAAAAGAAAAACTGCACCAAATCAATTCTGTAAATGGTACAGAGACAGAAACAGAACATATGAAGACAACAGATGAAATAAATGCTATTACAAAGTAACCACACATTACATACCATCCACAAACAAATTTTTTGTGAAGGCACCTAATAATAAAAATTAGTAATTAATAAACTCTTCGCTAAGACCAGCAGCACAGCATCCGGGACATAGAAAATCCATCTTTTAGCCTGAATCTGTTATACTTTTCATACTGTGGATTATGACTTATATCTACATTGTGAGAAAGGCTTCTTGAAATTTTCCCCAGTACTGCCAGGCAAATACTTGGTACAGGCAACAACGACTCTCTCATTTGCATTTATAATTATCAGTGAAGCTGCACATACATAGTCTGAGATACCAGTTGAGATTTCATATGCCTGAAATTGGCTCAGAAATCCCAAAATGAAAGGCATACATGAAGAACATTGCACAAAGTTGTGGAACTTGAATGGTTCTGAAGTTAGAACTAATATCTCAGACTGAAAGAGTTTCTTTGGTGACCAATTTACTTCATAGCACGTTATTCTGAAAAACTGTAAAATCAATCTCGGTGTGAATCTTTCTGAGTTCCTGACAGTAATATTTACTTTCTGGTTGCATTCTATCTAAATCCATGGCACTAAACACACTCTCAAGAGTGCAAATTTAAGCATTTCCATTATTATAGCTTTTGTTGGTTCAATTGCTCACCACAAATTGTTGACTCATGAACAAATTTCATTACAATTTCACTTTTTCAACGAGCCATCTCTGAAAACACTAAACTGATCAGGCAGAAAGCATACACTACGTGTACATTTCATGATGACTCTTGATCACTGAAGATCTTAATATACTGCTGGATTTTATAATCCCAGTCGAGATGTGGTTTATCTTAATTATGATTAAACACCCACACCATGGAGAAAAAAGATGGACATGGTGGTAAGTACATGAAATCTTGACCAGTACTTACATGTACCTGCGTACATATGGTTTTAATGAAATGAACACAATGTCTTCTGGGTTCTTGCGCTGTGTAGTCTGGTCGATGCTAACCAATGTTTCAGAGTTCATACTGCCTCCGTCATCAGGGTGATGAACATGCATATGACCTCTGAAACGTTAGTTAACATCGACCAGACTACTCACCGCTGTGAAAACCTCAAATCTTACAAATGAACACAATGCCTGAAACTCAAGAGTCTGTCACCTAACCTGCTGGTGTGTTGATACTTGCATATTACTGGAGAACATTATAAAGATAAACACCGATAACAAGCTGTCATCTGAAGAGAAAAAGCTTCAAAACTGCTAAAATACACAGACAAGTGTTCACATCTAACTGTTTCTTGTGGTCGCATGTACCGTAGCTCAGAAACATCAAGCACTTTCACATTATCACACTTACCAGACAGTTGAATCACTGATTGCACACACTTTCACAAGACTTCTGGAATTTTTTTCACAGTTCTTTATTGCAGGATTAAAGATAATGAGTAAATTATTGTGCCCTTTTAAAGTGGCTTTGTAAATCAGAACCTCAGTACTTTGCTGAGGGAAGTGAACTATGTCAGTTTATAAAACCATTTATATCTGTTATCCCAACATCCAGTTATTTTGATGAAAGACTGTCAGGTCTTTCATTAACTTCAGTTGCCGCAAAAGCTTCACTTTATACATCCAGATATTTTCTTGTGTTATGTCACATGTGCCAAGCCATGAGATCAGCAGCCCACGTACACAAATGTCGTGTCCTTACGTTGATCTCTACCTTTGGAAATGAACTGAGAGTCTCTGAACGCAGAGTTAGATTTGAAAAATTCTGTCTGCAGTGTAGACATATGCAAGTTGCGTAGAAAGTGAACTCTTTTAGCAAAGCCGTTTTCAGATTATATTCAGTATAGAAAGTTCGTAACAAGAAGATTTCACAACATTAAGGAAAAATGTCTTTACAGTGAATAGCCATTGCAGGCAATTAAACATCCAGAAAAGTAAAAAATTGTCCCCAGAAGCAATCAGCAGATAATAAAGTCTATTTTATATTACAATTTAAACCTCGATAATTTTAATGACACTTGATAATATTCTATACTAATGAAACACTGTTATTTATCTTACCGTCAATTTGCATTTGATTCGCAAAAGACACTTACACTAGTCTAGTAAATGCGGGAATCCATACTTCTAATCTGTTAGCATGAACCCTGAAACAAACATGGCTTCTACATAGTATGGCAGTAATATAGTACACTGTCTTTCTAACTTACGTCATGACAACACGATAAATTGGCTGTTATGTTACTGGATGGTGCAGTTTTAATGTGCAATGTTTGGCCATCACTTTGTTACTCTTAAAACCTTTCCTTACAACCTACAAGGTCTGTTACATTAACTGCTGTTTAATAAGCAATGCCCATCTTGACTGCATACATCATGTAAAAAAAACAAATGCAAGATACTTAACATGTTGCTTTTCACACAATTGGCTGTTAGTAGGAAAATGGAAAATAAATCCAGTGTCACATACACATCAGTTCCAGAGAATGACAATAAATCAGTTGACAAATTTCTGCATTACTTTCTTCATTTCTATGTCTGGTCAGCGCGGAAGTATAGGAACATTCCGATTCTCTGTCGACATACTGCCGCTTTACCCCGCCACTCCTATAAGACTCATCAACATCAGATTCACCTCCCTTTGCCAGTAAGACTGGCTGGCTTAGGGGTACCAACTAAACCATGTTACGAGATATAAAATTATTCTATTCCAGAAAACAGACTTGGTTTGCAAAAATAATGAAACAGTGACTCCGGCACATCGGCAGAAGTATATTTACGAAACTGCTGAAAGTGATCAAAAGCACTCAATATACTTAAAGTAAAAAATAAATGACCTCATTGTAACCAAAAGATATTCCTGTAGGCTATTTAACATTATTACATTCACCACACATAAAAACCACTTGTAAAAATGGACTCATCATTACAGGCCACGCTCTTTTCATTGGACATTAACTATATATGGAGGAAAATATGTTATAATTAAATCTTTGTCTACAGAAGAACATCACACTCTAGAAATAAGACAATTCTTGGTCACACAAGCATGTCGCAAACAGTGATTCAGTCACAAGTTAGTGCTACAAGATAAGGTAAAATACTACAACAAAATATATCAAAACTCTATTTGCCCCAACAGACCGTCCACCTCCTAGTGGGGGGCAGCACTGTTGTGAGTATTCTGGCAACAGCTTTATTACAAATGTACACTTTGGTTTATATTAAATGTTATATAAAACATAGGCCATCATTATTTATAAGTCACTGTGACGGTGACAATGTACACAACGCTATAGTAATGGAGGAAGTATTCCCTCCGCAGTAAAAATAACCTCTGGCATGAAACTGAATCTAATCACACATACTTCTGTCACGTGTCACCATGCAGCAGTACTATGCCAATTTGGGAACTCAGAAATGAGTCACAAAACCAACGCAAGTAGTCTAAGTCTGTGCAAGACAGAAATCTGTGAATTCAACTTAACCATTTTACAGCAAGCATCAACAGGTTATATGGAGAAGTTGGGATCCACCGTGCATAAACATACTTGATAAAAATGCACACACATAACATTTCCCTCCCTGCGATAAACTATTCAAAATGTTGGTAGGAGAAGGTGATTTTATGAGAAAATCTTAGCATTTATAAGGCCAAATTATGCAAATTTGTTTAGAATTTAACAGAAATACTTGGGTCATATTCATGAAACCACTATATGAGTTGCTACTTCTAAATCATAGGTTATTATACTATAAACCAGAACCATTTCTGTAAAAGAAAATAGCTGCTCACTGATATCATTCAAGAAGTATCTGCATTGATTTTAGTGACAATTATACTTACTCCATGTAGCAAAATCATTCTTGAGAAACTGACAGTATGCTTAGGTAGTAAATAAGTTTCCTGCTTTTTATGGACACTCAAAGTCCATTACCATGTTCAGAACAGCCTGCCACTAGCTCTTGTCCTGAGCCAAATAAATCCTGTCCACCATCTCCTGTTCCATGATCCACTTTAATATTAATCCTCTCATCATCGCCTCATCTTCAATTAAACAGAGTGGGAAGCAAGGATGTGATGTATTTCACATCGCTACTGAGGGCGACTGGTTGGAGATATGAATGCACGCGTTTTAGTATATAGTTTGGTAGTCACGAAGAAATGGACAGTGAACCATCACATTTTTGCTGTGAAAACTTATTTTGAAACTAACTCTATTTTGCAGACGCAAAGATGTTTCAGCATGAGTTTAATGTTCCTAGGCATGGCAGAATTACTTTGCGTAATGTTGGTAATGTCATATTGTGTCAATGACACCAACTAATCAACACACAATGGAACTGAGCAGGTTAGCACAGCAGTGCTCGGGAGAGACCTCGATTGAACGGCACGTTATGGGGTGTGCAATTCTATCCTTTAATTTCACGTGACGCTACATAAAGATGTTGAATAAATATGAATTGTTGGAACACGTTACTGGACTCCGGACTACAGCCTAGGCTGCATCTGTGGCTGTACAGGATCAAGCAGTACAATTGACATGTGGGCCAGCACGTTGCACATAACAGAAGTGTCTTTACGAAGCTACTCCATCAGTACTCAAGTAACTCAACTAATTACGGTACTGCATCTTAAATGTTGCAAACATTCCTACAATATCTTCACACCTACCAACCCTACATATTAAAACACCAAAGCTTTAAGATTCTGCTTTTGCTCCAAAAAAATTCACTCGGCACTACTTAAAAATATCAGCTTGTATTAAATGCGCTGTGAAGGAGGCCCGCTCCATCATCCGCGATGTACAGGCACGCATTACTAGTATGGGTCCCCAGTGCTACCAGAGTACAAGAAAGTGACAACCCTGGTCTTTGCAGCCAGGTAAATATGAAACTTGGGGATCCATACTCTAAACAATATACATATCTTCAGATACAAAAACGTCAAACATTTTAAATATTAACAAACTTCAAACAACTACCGAATATTTCATTTGGAATTTAATGACTTAAAAACTCTAGGATGTCTCAATGGGTGAACGATGAGCTCGCCCGACTCTCAAAATTGCCAGTTTTAAACACTATACCATGTTCCTGTACTTTCTCAACATATAAATTCAACAAAGAGTATAATTACCATCAAAAAACAAGACAGGTCCTACATCCTATTAGTGCTAATGCAGTGTTCATAGATGGCTCTACCTCAGTCACTGATAGGGACAGAGCTCACCCTATTCAAACTGGTGACAGGTGCATCTCACACTTCTTACTCACATGACAATAGAGTGCAACAGAGACACCTTTTTTTTTGTTTGTTTTTGCTCCTCCTTATAGTCAGATAATTAGTCTAGACTCAGCACCTAATCAAGCAGCTAAGGGCTGAACGAACCAGCTAGTGAATTCCACAATCAAAGGGTGAGAATGCTTGCTCGCATGATATGTGTGACCTGCTGCCTGCAGGGGTCCTGCTGCTCACATTATGGGGCAGTTGTTGCCCCGGTCAGCAGGTCAGGTGGGTCACATAATGTTGCAGCTCTTGGCATGTCCCTTCAGCTCAGCCTTCAAGTCCAGCTTGCTCTTCTGCTGAGTGTATGCGCGATTTCTCTGAAGCACAGAGTGGTTCTTGTTCAGCTTGCCAAGAGCAGCCAGGGCTGCCACTTCAAACGCATCCTTCACAGCCTTGCTGGATGTCTTGGCAGACGTCTCCACATACGTTGTAGCACCCACCTGTCGACTCACCATCACAGCCTGTAACACGCAAACTGTAAGCTGATCCTCTACCGATGCCTGGCGACCCTATACACTCGTGCATCTCTGACGGGCAGCAACGTCGAGATGCTGGTTAAAAAAATATTTACTGTTCTGGTGAATATTTAGTTTCGGTGTTCACTGGTGGCCAGGTTAACTATGTCTGACCCACAATTTTTACCATTCTCTTTAAGATAATAGTACTGGAATATAGTGTATACCTTCACAGAGCACATATTGAAATCTGAACACGTGCATCATACTAAAAATCATCCCAAAACGTGACCACTTACCCATAAATTCCATTACAATGAAGGAAAATGAAAACATTAAGGTCTCTCTAGGTACAGAACCAAGTAAGTAGATGAGTAGCAGTAAACAACGCAGAGATGAAAACTGTCAATCAACTTGTAACACATCAGTATTGACATCCTACCTGCTCAGAGGTGACTGGTATGCGCCTCTGCTTAGCAAGGCTCGAGATGGTCTCGATGTCATTCCGCAGGTCACTCTGGCAGCCACACAGGATCACAGGAGTGGTGTCACAATGTGTCTGGATTTCAGGATGCCACTGCAACACCACCATGTTAAACGTCTAACAGTACAAAAACACTTCAAAATAAATTCTGTTATACAACACATAAGCATCAAAGAATGTCGTTCGCACCCTATTACAGTGCATAATTACATAGCAAAATTTCTTCGGTATTTGTGGGTTATCGGGACACATCGCTTTAAAAATAAGTTAGGTTAGGGTTGTTGTTATCTGTTAGTTTGTTCAGTTATTTATTGATGTCCACACACATCAACCTAACCTAACCTATTTTTAAAGCGGTGTGTCCCGATAACCCACAAGTACAAAACACACACAGCATACACGTCACATGGATCATAAACACTGCCACGACTTAAAATAAGCTGCACATATTTATACGATCCACGCCTTGTGCAGCACACGCAACTCTCACACCACATTTCACATCCAATAACAACTCAAAAGACATTCACCCTATTACAATGCATAGCTCACACACCTTGCTCACGGCATTGTCCAGTGAATCAGGATCGCTCACCCTGAAGCACAGTAGGAATACTTTGGCATCCTGGTATGCGAGTGGTCGAACGTTATCATATGCATCAGTCCCTGGAACGAAGACAGAACAGTACTTCACTTAGAATATACAGATCAATTTATTCTGAGGAGCAGAACAGCATGCTATTTTCCAGCCAGGACTGTCAACATTAATTTTGTTTCGGATGTCATTCCGATGACTGCTACCATTCGTAATTTGTAATTGGCAGTACTTTTCTGTAGCGTAGGCCTCGTTACAATTTGACAATGGAAGTTCTAATTTTAATTCTCTCAAAAGAAGGGAGTGAAAAATAGAATTTTATTTCAAATACCTTGCTTACAGTCTAGCATGTGCATAATGGGATACAAATAGGTAGCAGTACTATTAAATTAACAAAAACAAAATTGAATTTACCCATCAAACATTAAGTGTTTCCCTCCAAAATCAAAACTGTTCAAATGGATTCTAGGATAAACTGGGTGTTTCAAAAAAAGTGTGGTCATAAGTTATATAGAGTCACATACAGAAGGTAATTTACATCGTTGATAATGTAAATAAATAATTTGTACTTAATACCCATTTTTTGAATAAAAGCACATCAAATTTGTAATAAGACAAACATACTCAGTCTTATTTAGTTACCTGATTGAGAGCTGAGACGTGGCGTTTGGTTATGGCAGTTCTACTACTAATAGCAAACGATGTACATGTTGGAATAGCACTGAGACTATGCATTTGTACTTTGGCAGCTCGTAGTAGGACTAGCAGTGGTAGTGGTGGAAGTATGACCACACCATTCCCCTGACCTCACTCCCCTAAATTTCCTTTTCTGAGGTTATTTTCACTCAGGAAGCCTCTGAAACCCTCAGACACTGATGGACATTTGCAGTGCCAATATCCATTACTTAACTTTTGAGTACTAAGATTTTCTTGGCTTTAAGGAAGTTCTGATTAGTACAAATTCATTGTACACTGCATAAAACATTCTAGTAACGAAATTCATCAGCACGCTCTGTTAGACGCTGTAACTCAATAAAGAGCATATACATGCACCATGACCACAAATTAATATACAATTTAAAACTCTCGTAATGTTTTATTGATGTCACATAAGAGAAAACAACCACTCTATAATAGTGTCCCGCCTTTTTAGGTTTTCCATCACAGTGCTGGAAGTTTTGTCCTCTGAGTGTTCCAAAGATTTATGGATCACTTTCCTCCACTAAGAAAACAGTGACTGGAATCTTGTATTTAGATATGCTTTGAAGTGTTCCTTATGCCCCAAATTCAGCAAGACACTAAGGTAGCACGTATTCTGTCCCAACAGGACAATATTCCCCTGCTTTATCATTTCAAGATCACATCTTTCCCTGGAGTCACATTCGCCAAGGGCGTTCACCAAGGTTGACCTATCGGGTGGCTGCCATTATCACCTGACCTCACACTCCGTGACTTCATTCCTGGGATTACAATCAAGGACAATGTTTAGGTTCCTTGTCTGCCACAGTTCTTAAGGGAACCACGATATGGAATCTGTGATTCAGTAATGACTACTGGTGAAGCTACGCAACATAGAGTACAGGACAAGACTGCAGATGATGAAAGTTGGGATGCCACGGAGAAACCCCGGAGGAAAACTCCGTGATGCCTAGACCACGGCCTTGCCCAACACAAGTTGTAAATCTGAGCACCGCCTGGAATCGAACCCGGGACCCCAGTATTACAAGCCCAGCGTTCTAACCGCTAGACCACCGTGGCGGATGGTAGCTACAGTAAGCACTAGTGAAAAAGAATTTGAATGTAGGATTTGAGGTTTTCGAGGAGCGCGAGTCTGAAATGGCTGTCTTCTGGGTTGTTGCGCCGTGTAGTCTGGTAGAAGTTTATCGACGTTTCAGAAGTCCCTGCAGCCTCCATCATCAGGGCGACGAGTCTGAAATGTCGATAAACTTCTACCAGACTACATGGTGCAACAACCCAGAAGACAGCCATCTTCTAAAATTTTAATGGCGGGCGACTGTCATGAAGTAATTCGTTTTACAAAACGTGAATAAGCAATTATAAGACTTTTAAAGTGTACTTTAATTTGTGGTCACTCTGTATTTCACGAACGCCCCAATAGGTCCCGTTGGGTTTGAACAGGCATACGGACGGACAAAACCGCACGAAGATGTATGAGACATGTGTCTCTGATAACTTTTGAACCAATGGGCAGTTACGAAGATGAGTGAACTGAGAATGGAGGGGGTATCTATGGTTGCTCATAACTTGTGAACTACACAATGCTCTGTGTTATCTTATTTCCAGAACTTGCGAAGAGGGGTATTTTCAAATGAAGGGGAAAAAACTATAAGGGAACTGTGTAGCAGTTCGGATCACTATTTCATTGTACAAAATTGTCACCTACAAACATTTCGGCACAGAGTGACCCACAACGGTCAGTTAACGAATTTTCGCGTTAACACGTTATTAAAAAAGGAATACTGTCTTTCAGTACACCTTATGCTACAGTAAAAAGCGATTTCCCTGTAAATGTTACTGAAAGGGACAAAAACATTTCTATCTCGTACGTCCCTCGAGGTATATTTTTGACTTCCCGTCCACTTTGCTTTGAGCAGCGTCTTCTAACCTCACTTATTAAACAGTTTTGCCCACATACCTTCACAGTTGTATAAAGTAATGGTCACTTTTATTATAACAATAATAATGACGCCAAATGTATTTCTTTCATTATTGCAGGTTAATATTCTGACTGGCGAATATTTCACTTCTAGTGTCAGTATAAATTTGTGTAACATGAGCATACAGGACTGCGACAGAGATGTTTTCATCCGAGGCATATGAACACAAAACTTTTGAAATATGATTCTTGATTTACTGCGCTATTAAACAGTAGACCCTAAATATAGCATCAGCCATTTTTTGTAAATTTTATCTTCTAACATGAATTCCAAGATATTTTTTTCCATTAATTCATTCTTATAAATAAATAAATAAATATACGTATGTCTGTGTAATGATTACCTTTTACTGTTACACCCACACCTCAGATCAGCATTTCTGTATTTGTTAACTTTTAACAAAGTGGGAAATTCTTTTTTGTTTAACGAACGACTTTACAAAACGCACCCCTTTCATAAAAGAAGAAGTTTGAAATTGTATTTCGGGGTACAAAACAAAATCAATTACACTATAATATCCCGTCTTTTAAATGCTTAATAGATGCGATTAGGCAAGCAAACCAACGTCTGTGCTAAAAGATGCGTAGTAGTGGTAGATGGTAATACTGTCTCCTGCAGAGATTCGCCAGTGTGACTGGAAGTATTTATAGGCCTACGCCGGTGACGGCACATCACTCCAAGCAGCAACACTGCCACACTTTGACCACATTTGCAGACTGCATTGGAGCATCACTTTTCACGTGATACCACTCACCTAAAATGTCCCACGAAATGGATTCTGTAGACTCCTTGTGACGAACTCACCTGAAGCGCCACACACCACGAAATGGATTTTGTAGACTCGTGACGGAACTCAACCTAAAGTGTCCCGTGTCCCACACCCCGAAGTGGATTCTGTAGACTCCTTGTGACGAACTCACCTGACGTGTCCCACACCTCGAAGTGGATTCTGTAGTCCCCAACAGTATAGCTGCACGCGTATTTCTCGAATCCGGTCGGAGAGTATACCTGAAATATCACATCGAGATCCTATAAAAAAATTGAATTACTACTAATCGTGTTCGACTTGTTTCACTAACTGCGTTGTTACAATCGATTGCTGTGTTGTGACAAAACAGCCCGCTGATTGCAGCCGCGAAGACAATTTGATTAATCAACGTGTTTAAATGTAAACACACTGAATGCGAATTAAAATATTCGTGTTCGAAGTAACTATCGACAATACAAACTGCTGAAAATATACATGCGCTGATATCATCACCGTAGATATTCTATTTTATTGTAATTAGCCATCGCGACAGATGTAGCATTAAACAAGGGCCTAATAAATAACCATCAGCAGGCACATCTGAATTATTTCAAAACGTCCACCTTTCGAGCTCATGAACGGTCGAAAAGCTACAAGTGTTCTCGAGTTATCGCTTACAGGAGCCTTGCGGTATCGACCGTCTGTTGAATGGACAGTCTGGACTCGAAAACCCCCAGTACGCAGAGGTGTCGAGACTGGAGAGCAGACGAAACCTTCCGTTATATGACACCATAAATCAAACAGTGCCAGGGTGTTTTATACAATTCAGATTATGCAAACTTTTGTTAACAAAAACAAAACGTGCTTGGTACCTATGAGACTCGGGGGTACATTTCAAATGAAATCTCGGAGAGAGTCACGGATTTCCGTCGTCCTGAAAGACCGATGGCAGAAGAGTGGACTAAGCTAGCACGCAACGAATGACATGGTTAGAAACCGGATAACCCTTCGAACCAAGTGCTTCAGCTATTTCGCTTCATAGTACGACTTCAAATTCAAACGGCTAGCCAAGACGCTGACTTCTGAAGCCAGAGATTACGGTTCAAGTCAATGTGACTTCAAGTGGAATTCGTGGTGGACGAAGTCTTCCTAAGACTACCCAAGAACCCCATCCGTCTGCTGGAAGATGATGAGGGTGTTGCGAGCTCCCATTTCTGGCCCCCCTCCCCCTGCAAGTACCAGGAGAAAGCGGAAGTTTTGGCTGTCAGCCTTGAGACTCAGTGTTCGCCGGTGGACAGTTACTGAGGTGCCTGACGAGGCGATGCGCGCACACGACTGTACACCCGCACGTAAAGCGAAGTTAACCAGTTCTTAGGAGGTCCTACAGGTCATCAGGGGACTCAGGGTTGGCGATAACCTTTCTCACCAAAGTGTTCAACACAATCCTCGTCAGGCAGAACTTCCCGCCAGCATGAACACACGTTCGCGTCGTATCTATACCGAGTCCGGGGAAAAAACTCCACGCTCTTCGAGAAGACCCTGCTCACTAGTCTTAAGAGAGGTCAAACCAACGCGGCCTGCTGCGTAACGAACAGTGTGGGTTACGACCACGACACAGAACGGAGCTGCAGCTAGCCAGCCTTCTTGACAGTCATCAGGAACTTCAACGAGAAGGGATTAACCGGCAGGGTCTTCCTCCATGCTGATAATGTCATCGACGGTTTAGACTCGAAGGCACGTGTGCCAACCACGGGCTATCTGAAGTCACAGACGGCTAACCAAGGAGGGCTGATGCTCCTAACAACTCTCCGCAACCCTGAGGTTTTCCGTGCTTTTCCTCAGTTGTAAAAAAAAATTCTACAGTGTAGTTCAAAACAGGCACGGACCGCCTATCCCCAGTCATTGAGCTGGTGAACCGAAATGACCCCCTCCCTCAAGTTGCAGAGGCCTTCAGCCAAGAGAACAAACACGTTAGAATAATAACATCCCGATTCATAATTTATAATGCAATCTTCTCTAATTACGAGAATAGTGTAACGGAGAAAGAAACGTCTTCTTGCGTTTCACAATGAATTTTAGTGGTTTATACAAATAATGTATTGACTGGTTATGCAGCACGAATGAGTGAGAAACTTACAAATAATGTTGATGTAGAAACCTGCTGAAAAGTGGCACTTATATATCTAAAGGAGATGGAAGGTGACGTGAAGATGATTTCAAGGGCACAGGATGCGAGAATGTTGAGTGGTCGAAACAACAGAAGGGTCGTGTCCAAGGGTGGGTTTTGCATAAGCAGGGAATCAGTTAACCAATTCCATCAGCCGGTTCGAGACGCGTGTCCCAGCATCTGGTACGACATTTACGTCTTTTCATAACGAAATACAATCAAAACAGGTTTTGAGGCCGGACGCCCAGTTACAGGAGAGTCCGAACGAAATACAATCAAAACAGGTTTTGAAGCCGAACGCCCAGTTGCAGGAGAGTCCACCGTTTGGGGGACAGTTGAAGAAATATAAAAGTCGTGGAAAATGTTGCATATGGCTTGAAATAATTACTAACTAATTCTCTGACAGACAGGTAGCTCTTTAAAACAAATTCCATTCTGTTATGGGCGTAATCGAAAAACTTAACATAAAATAAATGATTCGGGTTTCTACGATCTGGACTCGGTTCTTAAAGCCACGTTTCCGAAAACGGGGAGCATAAATTGTGACGGAGTTGGTATTATGGTACAGAGACAGACTTTATTATTGCGTACACTGTCCCTTAAAACTCGCCACGGTACGGAGGGAATATAAAAACATAATAATTTACGACCAACTGAAAAACTAGGAAGATTAGAGGTGTAAACAAAAGAAAGCTTCCAGCGCGCGCCACTTCTAGAACAGACTAAAACAATGTTTGTTACATTCAACAAAGCCAATACATTATAAACGCCACTACGATCATCTCCAAGTATGTGGGATTAGAGTAACATGATGACGGAATGTGACGCGATATTAGCCATACCGTGTGCATTCCGCCAGTGTTGGAACACTATGCGGGGCACCACAGTTAATACAGACAGCTGCCAGCTCATCGTGCAACAATCTACCATATGTTAGGTGCGCAGAAATGTTACATTCACAACCCGCAATCTGTGTACCCAAGAGTATTAATTAGACCGTTCGTCTTGTCAAGAGACGCCAAAGGAATTCGCAATCTTGAAAGCCAGGAACTCGACATGACGCCAGAAGCAGAAGGTTTAGCCGCATCATCGGCGACCTCACTGCCGAGAACACCTGATGAGCGCCCAGGAACTTCCTTGTGGCGGTGGGACACTTGGCCCAGAAACTCAAGTGACTGCGGACCGACCCAGAGGGCATCCACTGAGCTTCTGCAAGGCACTGCGGGAGTTCAAACAGAACAGGTGAAATTTACGCCGATGGCACCAAATAAAAAGGAGAGCTCGGTACAAGTTTTAGTGTTATAGTACGAGAAACCGCCACTCGTCACTGTGGATACCGGATGGTCTAGACCGCGTTCTTTTACTTCAGCGAGACCTGCGATTAATTTCTTTGGTACGTGGTATCCGATGACGGATGATTTGAAATACGCAGTTCCTGCTTCTGTATCCTGGGCTGCAGACCGGCAAGGCCGGGGACCGAAGTTGAAACGCTGGTATAGCGAGACAGGTCGAACTGTGTGGCAATGGCTACTTGGTTTCATGTGTTACGTAGACCTCGAGATGTCGATGGGCGTGCGGCTGATGCTTTTGTGACAGTTTCAACGCCAGTTGGTCCGGGCTTCAGAAACTGTTAGGCAATCTTTAGCTTCAAGTTCATGTACATGTCGACAAAGGGAGGAATACGAGAAAACTTCCTTATCGGACACGCCGTCGAAGGTGTCAATCCTAACCACTGCATGAAAGATAATAACGTCTTTCCACTTTAACAGGATGGGATCCCAGAAGAGTAGTCTTCAACAGCTTGTCAGATTATTTCGTTAAATACTTCAACCAACAACGTGCAGTTTCTGAGGCTAGCTGCATTTTAACCTTGCCAACTATAGCATCCATAGTTTTTATGTGCAGAATGGGTTAAATTTATCGAAAGTTTTTTCAGTTCCAAGATGAAACGTCAAGAGCCAGCAAGCAGACACTTTCACTGTGACATGACAGACACCAGATGGAGAACCAGACTTCGTTGCAGTAACCTTTCGTTACTGTGAAGACGATACGTGCGAATTACATGCTCCACCCCCCGGAACCAGACCCCAAGAAAGAGGGGGACCATCAAAATCTTCCGGTCTGTACTGGCGTGTGACCTCCGTCACATCCAGATCTCGGGAAGAACTTCAGATATACTATTCCAGAGCTACACAGGCGGACAGATGGTCACACGGACGTCGGGAGAGTGTCTACGCCCCCTGGGCACTACGTAGGCGAAAGTTACTGCGGCCCGGGTTCAACCACCTACATTTGAAAAGCCGGACAATAACAAACGTCGACCCTGTCTTCATTTCTGAGTTCTCAGCGGATGCAAATTGGAAGCCACGCCAAAACCGTGGGACCAAGGCGATATCAAAGAGCAGCAATGGTGAAGCCGGCGTTTCATGAATCCAAAAAAGTCTTCATTACTACGAAACGTGTAAAACGTAAAATGGGAGCAACTGTGATGAATACTGCCAGAAGTGATAGATCCTGATATGGTATGGCGACTGTAGGGATGGTGTGATTGGCTTTCAGTCTGCAAATATATGTTTACGAGATATTCTACAGATGGCGCATATGAATGTTAAAAGTTACGGCAAAGGAGAGGAAGGCTTGAGAGCACCCCCGTTATACCCCCACCCCTCCGACAGCACGTGGACCGACCTACCCAGACGGGGAGGTCCAACAAACTGGGTTCGTTCAGGTGAAACGGGCATATAGTTGAACTAACCCCACGATGACGTACAGCGCTTCTGTCACTGGGCGTCGCGTAATTTCGGCCACTGAGGCGTTTTTTATAAACACCTACGAAAGGATTTGAGTTTAAATTGTTGTGGCTTGTGTCTGGGGTGCACTGTCTTAAACCATCGTGGCCTCTACCTGACCGACTACGTTAACGGTATGAATCCACATTTCAGATGGACGCTAATGGTGACTGGTGGCAGTGGGGATTTATAGCACATTTAATGTCACAGAGATTTTGAAATATAAAACTCTCGTTTGTACAGGTTACAATTTCGTTCGGTGTTTCAGTCTGTCCAAACTGGGCCTCTTCATGGCGACCCCCGTCTCTCGAAGTGAATGAGAGGACACGCCATAACGCCCCTTCAAACCCTAATCTATTTTCCATTCATAACAATCTTTCCACCTAAATCTTGACTAACGTAAATAAAACAAATGTCAAATAATATAATTACCGATCAAACACAGAGATCACCAGTTCACAATTTCTCAGCTTACACTTGTGAAATGGTCAGTAATTTAAAATGTCTTCGTACGACTGAATATTCTTTGAGTAACATAATTACATGGGCATAAACACAGCAAACTGATATGTAACAAGAAATACATATGTACTGACTACTGAAGGTGCACAGTTACAAATTTACTCCTAGGATTCAACTCTGAATATGTGAGATTTCAGGTTCTCATGGGGGCAAATTTAGATGAAAACCTTCTGCTCAGCTTCTATGAGACTGCATGGCAACGTCCCAGAAGGCTGTCATCTACAGCTGGACATCTTCGTGGGAGAAAACTTGTCAGGAGACCTCAGGGAGGACAGGCTGGATGCAAGCCGGATAACCCAGGTCCCATTTCCTTCAGGATGAGAGATTTTCCTGCTGCTTCCTGTTTAATTTTACTTTTTTTCCTGAGGATAACAAGGCCAGATTGTGAATCTGGTTGAAATTCATGAAGCTACCTTCGCTCTGCACATATTCATGACACAGTGCTCAACACAGCAACGTCCTATAATGGGTCAAAATACAGCTGAATCACAGGTCTTTACGTTGTCACTGACGTAATCATATCCACAGGACATAGTGACTCATATGAGGGACATTTTTAATTATTACCGCCATGCATGTACTTTTTGTGCCTCAGGAACTGATTATGGCCATCAAGTGGAATACGGAATGAAATGAACAGAGGTATGTAATATGAGCTCTACAGAAATCAGATGCTTGGACAAAGGCACAAATAAATTTAAGGATTACAATCCTAGAACTAACTCTGTAAAACATGACTAACGTGATTTGCTAAGAGATTCCCACAACACTCTGAACATACAAAAGAATTGTTTTTACTATCTTATGTAAATGAATTAATGATGTTAGGTGGACTGACAAACTTACAGCTTAGCGATTAGTACCACGACTTAGTTCTTCCGACACCAAGACCACTACGAAGAAGTTGAAAACCACCGGGCTACCTAAAAATCCTGGCAGGAGCTAAAATATTATGTTTCAAGGCAAACTTATTAATTCTCTAAGGAACAAGTAAGAAATGCCAGAGCAGTAGCAGAAACCTATTATTGCATCTATCAAATGCAAAAGGAATGAAAAAGCTGACTCTACAAATTACTGATGAAAATCAGTGATAACTACATAAAAATTTTATCCAACATTATTCACTAGCAGTTACCCACATGAAATCGCTGCAGATCAGAAGTGTGAATTTAAATTCGATAAATTAACTACCGACAGAAATTCTAGACGTTAAGATACTGATGAAGGATGGGATTACCGTGTGACAGCACACAAGTTATATTTTTATATATACTTCAAAAAGTTGGTGATTAAGTAAGGAGTAAAGCAGTGTGCAACACTCTCACTGAATTTAATATATGAATTAAACTAGTTGGATAAATTAAACCTACAGTAAAGCCTGTAGAGGTAACATCTGTCAGTTGCATTTTCTATACAGAATGGTCTCAAACAAGGTGATGCTTCATCACTGTTGCTTTTCAGATTGATTTAGAATACAACATTAAAAAGTAAGCGAATTAAAGCATGCCATGTAGATCGCTTGTGGGGATCGGCGGTATACCTCCTACTCACTCAAGACCTCAGCACTAGATGGGGGTGAGTGGTCGCATCACACCCCAGACAATGTTAAGAGGGTCCAAGAAAATAAGCAGGGACTCAAATTTAATAGGATGCATACGCTTCTGGGGTACGCTTATGATATAAATTACTGAGAAAAATCAATATCGTAATGAAAAACACAAAAGCTCTCTTAGACGCTCATAAAGAAGTTGGTCTGGAAGTAAACACAAAGAATATTATGTATTATGTTCAAGGCCTATCATCAGAGAACAGAATCACAATACAAAGGTAAATGAGTATTTCCTAAAACTTTGTAAAGTTCAAATGTTTGGCTGGGATGATGGTAACTAATAAAAGAATTGAAATCATGAAAAACAAATAAGAGCCATTGCTATCCTGGGAATACTTCTTACTATGTACTTCAGAATCTTGTCTTCCTGACTGTTATAAAATGTTAAATTCTAAAACATATAAATTATAATATTGCCCATCACTTTGTATGAGTGTAAAACTTGGTCTGTAACATCAGGGAAGAATACTGGTTAATTGCATACAAGATAAATAACGTGACAGGATATCGGGGAACACTGCACAACGAGGAGCTCCATAATTTATCCCTTCACTAAATATCATCAGGATGATCAGACTCAACAGAATAAAATAGACCATTAATCACACATGGGGGATACAAGGATACCATAAAAATTTTAGTTAGAGATCTTAAAGGAAAAAGACCACTTGGTAAACCTAAGACCTAAATGGAAGTATAATATTAAAATGGGCATTAAAAATAGAGTGGGAGGGTGTGGACTCCATTCATGATAGCATGTTCTAGTACACACTACAGGAATAAGTAGACACTCCCAGCCTTCCATTTCAAATGCATCTTTCAACAGTCCACCTCTACACGTTAAACATTTCTCCAAAACTTGCTTGCCTTATCATTAATTTACACATATAATGGCATTTTAACACTTGCCATGCAACTGAATAACATAGTTCTAAAACTACCTTAGTCGTTTCGTAGCATTTTCCAACAAAGCGCGTTTCTTATTAGCTAATTTACTACATTCTGCTTCAAAAATGTATATTTTCCCCAAAACTTTGTTGAACGGACTCAGAAAGTTTTGATTTGCACTCTTCAATTTCTGCCAGCCACTAAATTTTACTAACAGGTTTGACACTTGCTGAACAATGTGAACATAAGCCATCTTGCTCCTTAAAACTGTCTCCTAATTATATTTGTCAGACTGTTACACTCTGTAGCAAATCTCACATGTGAAATATGATATGTTTGAAAGATTTGCTATGGTACATTTTATAACATCTGGTACCCAATGTTATGCATTTCACAGCTGTTTGTGTCTACTTTGGTTTATTCCATAAATAATGTTACACACATCAGAACTGCTGCTACATGAAATCTGATAATAAACTGATAAAAATGTAATTAATAACTACCAGTGTCTACTTTGGGATATTTTGTAACTACTGGTTCCTATACATGCACATTCTACAACTCCTGATGCCTACAAGCTGCACATTTCATAACCACACACAACCACATCTCACAACTGCTAATGTCTTGTAAATTTCATACCCATTGGTGCATACTATGATACATAAACTCATGGCACCTGAAACCATATTTGTCATCTATTGGTGTTTACATGACAAACCACATATGACTCAGTAATAATCAGTACATACTAATAACACTCATAAATGTTAATGTTTACCATAGAAAATGTCTTTACTACGAGTGCCTACTATATGACAAATTTCGTAAGTGTAAATAAGTTCTGCGACAATTGCCAGTACTTAGTACAGCATATTTCATGTGTATCAATTTTTCAAAAGCACATGTGGTAAATTTTAAAACTATATCTACTATAGAATATTTCATAGCTGGCACGTTTTTTATGCAATGTTAACGATATACCATAACACAAATCACATCAGTTGACACATTGTATGACACGACGAACAGCAAATGTTACACGAATCTACTCTGGCACATTTCACAACAGCAACTGGTGATTACTGTGGCACTTCTCCCAACTAAGACAAATTGCTAATTACTTCCCACATTTGTCCTCAATATCCAGTATGACTTACGTTCTATCATGATGCAAGTCACAGGAATGCATTTTAATGCACAACGAAAGGCTACATAAAACATAACCTCAGAGAGATGGGCGTGTCCCTACCTCGACGAAATTGTCTTCCACAAAGCGCTGCACTAGGGCCGTCTTGCCGCAGTGGGAGTCGCCGACCAGCACCACCTTGCATTCTACGTCCTCCAGCTCTTCGGCCGCCTCCATCTTCTGCAACGTACAACTTGCTTGTGAATACTGAGCAGCTGGCCCCACTGCAGCCTCCATCTGTGGCATGTGCTGTACCCTAGTGAGCACTGCCAACAATAACTGCAAGCCCATGCTGCCATCTTCAGGTCATCTACAAAAGTAATCGCTATTAATTCAGGAAAGGATTAAGTACAGATTTTCCAACATAGGGATTAGCTTATCGAGGATAGGGTGGGTTCCTTGTAGCAAATGTTCTACTAGGATTTTATATTTAATTATGTTCCTTATCTACAATATATATGTGGAATCACGTTCTTATTAATTTGATCGACTTGAGCGCATCAGGTGTACCAACACAAAAGTATTGCAGCTGCGTGCAATCCGTTATTGAACGCCACACACAGCAAAAGCGCTAAAGCCCTAATAATGTGGTCTAACCTTTGAACGGCCAGAAACCCAAGGAATTCGAGTTATTTGTGTCTGTTGTTTATAAAGTGTGCGAGTGTTCTATTTAAATCGATATGTTCGACTACAATAACACTGAAACGCTTCCTTCTAATCTCACCCCGTAAGTGCAAGTGCTTAGAATGGCTTTCGATTGTTGTGCATTTGAATCGCCATTGTACATTCATTACTCGCTGTGCGTGAAATAAACGTTTTTAGGGTTAACCATGTCTGTTTGTCCGTATAATTCAACTAGAACCGTTGGACTTATTTGGGTGAAATTTGGTTTTGGCGTTATGCCGTTGGGGACTATCCTAAAACCGTACTTTTCAATTTCATCTCGGTAATACCTTCATCGCAGGCGAACAAACTTTGTCATGTGGGATAGACAGTAGCGCCACTTACGATAGGGTTATACAATAATGTCTGTTACGGATTTTCGGAAAATACAAACCTCTGGAAAAGTAATTCTTTGTATAATGTAAAATAACGACGTGGAGGCTGCATGAAACAGACAAATTAATCATAATTCTATCCCATTAGATCACGCGCGTAAGACTCTGGTATACTTTCACAAACCTGATTCTCATTGTGTTGTGCTACTGATTTACAGTATTTAAGAAGACATTAAGAACACATATATAGTTAAGAGCTAGAGTTGTCTAAGATAAATGACGTTATGTTTAATTAATAATTTCTCTTTCATCATATATCGCACGCTACGAATTGCATCTGTTGATCACTTTGCAACACAAAGTCTAAGCTCTATAAAAGCTATGCTGTTCTGTCAACAGCCATTTTCCTGTAAACACTCGGATCAGTAGAGAAAAAAGTGAAAAACTTTTAAAGGGCATGAACATGTATTTCGATGAAAATTTTGGGAAGTATGTAAGCTATATTATATTTCAATTCGCTCCTATATTTTGTTAATAAGAAGATAGTTAGGTAAAAGTCAATTAAGAAATCTTATGTTCAACAGATATGGAAACGTCTTTAGATTACCTGCAGTGTATTTTTTGCAATTACGTGGATGATATTGGTGGAAAAAAGATTAGTATACGCATATTATTACACATATTTCTTGTTATTTTAGGTGCGTACTGAAGGTCTTTTCCTAAGGGGTAAACGTGACCGGTTCGTGACGCTACCCACTTACCCCCATCTAGTGTCTGGTTTAATAATGAACTGTGCATGACTCATGTGGTTACGTCTCTTTCTTCATTGCTGTCTATTTCAATCGCTATGGGTTTAAGTGATTTCTTTATGGTCACAATCTAAAACAAAACCTTGTAGCAAAATAACACGAATTTATGACTCACGTCGTTTAACAATTAGAAGTTTACCAACGTATCATCGCCCTGATGTTGGAGGCAGCAAGGACCTCTGAAACGTTGGCAAATTTCTGCCAGATTGCACGGCGCTACAACAAAAA